CTTATAAAACATCCTTAAATAACTGCAAATGCAAATTAAATTGTGGAAGAAACAAATTCAGTATTTAAAGTGTGGGATCACTGAATCTTGATGGCAGGTGCTATTCCATAAATTTGGTTGGGGAAACTACTGTGACATCTGAGCTTCCATTGCCTGTGCTGTCCACTCAGGGGCAGCCTGGCTGATCTTCTCCAGTAGGTTGTTCACTTGGAAGCAAAGGGACTGGATTTGTTTGTCCCATGTGGGCAAAGCTTCACGAGCTAGAAGAATAAAAGAAAAATATATTATTCAAGTACTAGTACCCCAATAACAACAGACACAATCTTCACAACGTGTTGATGTACAAATGTATTATGTGGAAGTAACAGATCTTCACTAACAGAAGGTTTGTGATTTTAATTATGACAGTTTGAAGCAGGGTAAGCAATCAAATTACATAGGAAGCTAGGAACAGCCTATTCCCCATTCAATTAGATTATGATATTATAGATCTTAATTCCATTTCCCAATCCTTGATCCATATCCTTTGTACCCATACCTAATAAAAATCTTTGTCTCTGAAAATACCAATTGATCAAGCAACCAGTGCTGCTGGGAGGAACAAAAGCAGTCAAGGCACCAAGTCCTGATCATTAACAGCTGACTTCTGCTAAAACTCTGTCTGTACAATAGTCAGTCAACTAATTAAGGTTATCCAATCTCTGGCAAGCCCTGGAAACTCCCCGGTATCCGAAGAAACCGGGAAAGAGGATCAAGACTTAAATCATTTTAATGAACCATATACAATTTTGCAACTAAGGTTGCTGTTCAGAATTAATACATTATACATGTACTGAACATGAACACAGTTTTATTAAAAGCTTACTGCTTTTACTACAGCACTAAAAGGTAAAAGTGAAAATAATGGAGGCTGTGACAGGAATAATTCCTGTATGCACATGCAGAAAACCAATTTCCAGGACCAATGAATACCTTCAGAAAAATTAAGGTATTATTGCATTCTGTACCTTAATGAAACTTCATAAATATACAACTGTCATTCAATACTGTTAAGATCACTTTTTTCCTGCAAAAACTGCGTAGAAAATTACGTTCTTAATACTCAGCAATGGCCTAGTTGTATTATCAGTAGACTAGTAATCTAGAGGTGCAGGTAATATTCTGGGGACGTAGGTTTAAATCCACCATGGTGAAATCTGAATTCAGTAAAAATATATAACTAGGAGTCTAATGATGATCATGAAATTGTTGTCAATTGTCAGAAAACCCTATCCGGTTTACTAATGTCTTTTAAGGAAAGAACCTGTTGTCTTTACCTGGTCTGGCCTACATGTGACTCCAGACCCACTGCAACATGGTTGATTCTTAACTGCCCTCTGGGCAATAAATGCTGGCCTAGCCAATGATACCCACATTCTATAAGTGAACAAACAACCACCATGCATGTGTGGACAGCCTCTTTTGATTCTGCACATGGCAAGCACATCAGTATATGGAGTGTGCCATGGACTTCCAGTTCCAAGAGTCGTTGCCATGCACAGACCTCAGAGTCCTGCACAACCAGAAAGAAAATTAGAGGGAATGCTGTCCTTAACCTATTGGATTTAGGGTTTGAGAAAGAAACAATGGAACAGTAGAGAGGAGAGATACAGAAGTGTCCATTCAGGTACAGAAAGTGCAAAAAGAATGATAGATATCAGGAACAAAAACAGAAGTTGCTGGAAAAGCTCAGCAAGTCTGGTAGCATCAATGAAGATAAAATCAGAGTTAACGTTTCAGCAGACCTGAAATATTAACTCTGATTTTCTCTTCACAAATGCTGCCAGACCTGCTGAGCTTTTCCAGCAATTTCTGCTTTTGTTCCTGATTTACAGCATCCACAGTTCTTTTGGTTTTTATTAAGAATGACAGATATATTGGATTCAGGCAAAGAGGAAAAAAAAAATCTACAATTTTAGAATTTTGAAGTCTCAAAGAATTGACATCACAGAATAAGACTGATTAGTTTAAACTGCTTCCTTTCTGTCCTAGAGAGATTAATTGATATTGTATCAACAATATCATTCAAAGGGCACTTGCACTCTAAATTACTACCCTAACATTATGTGGTAAGTGTTAAAGGACAATTAACATGGAAACATTGGAAGTTCTTAAAAATAGTTAGGTGGCCAAGGGGGAAGATGTCATTGACATGAAGCAAGTGTGCATAACGCATAAGCATGGTCTGAAGATTTACACCTCATGCCATTGTATCGTATCTCTTAATTTCCTGAAATTGTTAGCTAATTTGAGCACCAATAAAGGCATTTGTCATTAGCACTATTAGGATCACTTTGTCATCAAAACTTGGCCCAATATCTTTGAAAATCATAAGAGATCAAATTGTGGCCGAGTTGGTAAAAATTTTGCTTCAGAATCAAAAGGTTGAGAGTTAAAGTCTCACACAGGATCATGGCCGACACTCCAGTGTAGTCCACAGGGAAAGCTGCACTGTCAATGATACCATCTTTCAGATGAAATGTAAAATCAAAGACTTATCTACCTCTTCAAGTGAACAAAGCTTCCATGATACTACTTCAAAGAACAATAGGAGTGTTCGCCCTGGTGTTCAAGGCAATATTTATTTCCTCAATTAACTCCATTAAAAAGAGTTTATTGCTGTATAAATTGACTACTGTGTTTCTTATACTTCAAAAGTAATTAATTACTTGGATGAGTTAAGAAGGAACTTCTTCAGAGTCATAGAGACCTACAGCATGGAGACAGACCCTTTGGCCCAAACTGGTCCATGCTGACCAAAATGTCCATCCACGCTAACCCCATTTTCCTGCGCTTGGCCCATATCCTTCTAAACGTTTCCTATCCACGTATTTGTCCAAATGCATTTTAAATGTTGTTAATGTACCTGCCTCAACCACTTCTGCTGGCAGCTCATTCCGTAAGTGTACCACCCTCAGTGTAAAAAAGTTCCCATGTATTCTTTCCCCTCTTATTTAAACTGATGCCCTCTAGTCCTCGATTCCCCAACCCTGGGAAAAAGACTGAGTGCATTCACCCTATCAATGCCTCTCATAATTTTATACACTTCAATTTTATACACTTCACGACCCTGCAATTTCTGATAACCTTCCTCACTGTCCATGATGCTGCCTATTTTAGCGTCATCCGCAAACTTACTAATCATGCCTTCTACATTCATCATCAAAATAGATAACAAACAGCAATGAGCCCAGCACCAACCCGAGACACACCACTAGTCACAGGCCTCCAATCAGACAAGCATCTACCATCAAGCCAATTGTGTATCCAATTTGCCAGCTCTCCCTGGATTCCATGTGATCTAACCTTCCAGAGAAGCCTACCATATGGAACCTTATCAAAGGCCTTACTGAAATCCATATAGACTATGTCTACTGCCCTGCTCTCATCAACTTTCCAAGTCACTTCATCAAAGAACTCTAACAAATTTGTGAGGCATGATCTCCCTCAAAGCCATGCTGACTACTCTTAATCAAACTGTGTCTTTCCAAATGGATGTATACCTTATCCCTCAGAATCTTCTCAAGTAACATACCTACCACAGATGTTAGGCTCACTGGTCTATAATTCACAGGTTTTTCTTTGCAGCCCTTCTTGAATAGGGGCACAACATTCGCTACCTTCCAGTCTTTCGGGACTTCACCCATGGCTAATGATGATGCAAATATATCAGCCAGGGCCCCCACAATTTCTTCCCTAGCCTCTTGCAGGGTCCTTGGATATATCTGGTCAGGACCAAGAGATTTATCCACCTTTGTACATTCTAATATTTCCAACACCACCTGTACTGTGATATGGGCTATCCCCAAGATATCGACACTAACTTTCCCAAGTCTTCACGGTAAACACAGAAGAGAAGTATTCATTGAGGACCTCACCCATCTCTTGCGGTTCCACACATACATGTCCACTTTGGTCCTTGAGGGGTCCTATTCTCTCTCTCGTTATTCTTTTTCCTTTAACATACTTAAAGAATCTCTTTGGATTCACCCTAATCTCAGCCAAAGCTATCTCATGCCCCCTTTTCACCTTCCTGATTTCCTTCTTCAGTAAACTCCTGTATCCTCGATATACCTCCAGGGATTCCCTTGATCCCAGCTGCCTGTACCTGTGCCATGCCTCCTCCTTTCCTAGCTCTCTATAATCACTCAGCAGGATCTCATCCCTTTTTCTATCTATCTCATTTGTGCCGACATGCACAATGACTTCTGGCTGCTCACCCTCCCCATTGAGAGCGTTCTGCAGCTGCTCCACAACATCCCGGACCCTGGCACCTGGGAAGCAACACACCATCCTGGATTCCCATTTACAGCCACAGAATCTCCTTTCTGTCCCCCTAACTATCAAAACTCCTATCACTAAGGTCCTGTTTACCTTCACCCTTTCCCACTATCCCCCAGAGCCAGGTGCAGTGCCACCAACCTGACTACTGCTGCTTTCCCTGATTGGTCATCCCCCTGACCCACCCCCAGCAGTGTCCAAAATGGTTTACTTGTTTTCAAGAAGAATGACCACAGGGATTCCTGCACTAAGTAGTCCATGATACCAGGCCCACAATGATTCACTCTTCAGTGGAGGTGACTGCTTCCAAGCTCTGATGAATGCGCCAAAGTGATGCCTCTCCCTCGCTGTTGCCCTCTGCTGGATGCTCTTCCTCCTGCCGATCACGGGGACTGTTGACAGATGATCCGTTCTTCAGTGGAGGTGACTGCTCCCAGGCTCTAATGTAACTGCCGAAGTGATGCCTCTCCTTTGCTGTTGCCCTCTGCTGGACAGCAGAGGGCAGTGAAGATTTGGAAGACTCCACCCCAAAGGACTGAAGAAGTCAGTAATTAAGTTCAAGATAGAGACTGAAAAATTATTAGTTACTAATGGTATCAAAGGATATGGGGATAATGTCGGAATTAGACGTTAAGGTAGCTGATCAGCTATGAACCAGAATGGCAGAGCAGTATGAAAGACCTGAATGGTCTACTCCTGCTCAGACATTACTGAGGCTCCGTGTTATATTGAGGCCATGAAAGATGTCACAGGCTTTCTGAGATAGTTGGAACTGCCGATGCTGGAGAATCCGAGACAACAAGGTGTAGAGCTGGATGAACACAGCAGGCCAAGCAGCATCAGAGGAGCAGGAAAGCTGACGTTTTGGGTCTAGACCCTTCTTCAGAAAATGTTTTCTTCTTCAGAAAACAGACTTTCTGATGCTAGGGAAGAACTGAAACATTCCCATAAAAACAATGGAAATGTACCAGGACTACTATTTTTCAGAATCAAGGCAAGTTTTTACAAAAAGACAAAGTAACCTCTGTGGGTAAATTTGGGATATTTAATTATGCTGTAGTTGTAGAAGAGTCCACAGATTCAAAACCTAAAAAAATTAGATTATATGGCAGGAGGCTCTTGAAAACAAAGAACAGAAAAGGGAAATACCAAACCTTCAGCAACTCAGCCTCTTCAGTAATGTCAAGAATTAACTGAACATAGCTAAAGAATGCTTTACTTTTAAACATATTTGTTTTCATTTGCTTTGACGTGTTATGGGAAATACACAGATTAGGTACTCCGGAAACTTCAATTGTAGCATATGTAAAAAATAAAAACAGCCTTTGAGTAGGAGAGCAAAGGCATACATTTGGTAGGAATTTTGAAGGTGCCACTATACTGGAAGTTAATTCTTAAAGACCTTCTTCTCCTGTAACAAGCTGAGATATTCTGGCATGGCAGTGCCCATCACTTGCGCAAGTGGTCTGAACATCTTCACCTTAGGAATGTGCTGTACTTCTCAATTCCTATCCAAGCCTCGTGATATTCAACAGAATCATCTTACGATCTAATGTAAATTCATAAACATATGCTTGTGCAATCTTTTATAAGCTAGACCAAGTAAATCCCAAGGCAAGACACAAATCAGTAAACTACATTATTTCATAGCACATGAACATATATAGCAATAGAAAAGATTTGATGTCCTTAATTCAAACGATACAATTTGTGTTCATGAAATAAAAAAGGAATATTTCTAAGTTTCCTCACATTAGTAGGTTATCTTGACTGATCATAATACAGTAGCTTGTAACTGTTCTTCTTGACTCTTCATTAGACTTTTTGGAAAGATTGCAGTTTCCAGAATTTTAAATCTAACTGTCAACTTGTTTTCTTCACAGTCTCTCATCACAGACTACAACTGCAAGATCCCATGACAAAGAAATTCCTGACTTGAAGTGCTTGCTGTTTTCTGTTTTTGGGGAAACCATTTGGAGATTATTCTGTAAAAATGCCATATATTTCCATCTTTTTTCTAAATTAACCAATGTGAACACACTTTAAAAGTTCAGCATTTATATATGTAACTCTTTTCAATAAAATCCCTGACATCTTTCTTGTGAGAAGTACTCAATTTATAACAGGTGGGAATTTATTGCATGAAAAACAATAGGCCCAGACATCAGCTGTACGCTGGTTTATTATCCTATCAAGTTGTCTAAGTGGTCCAGATTTTATTCTGATAATAGTGGTGAAACAGTTGGCATGACATAGGATCTTACAGGGTGTGAACATTCTTTGAATAACTCAGGAATCCAGAGTTACTGCCAGAAAGTTTACACTCCTCCAAAGGATGCATTTTAGAGATTCCCACAGGCTGCAATCTCCATTTCAACCTTGAATTGTTGAAAACTTTCACTTCTACTTAGTTAATCTGACCGTAAAAATCCTTTAAAATGTCACATCTTGTTAGATAAAATGTAACTGAGTTTTAAATAGCATACAAACTTCAGAATTTCTGCCAAACACTCTTGGTAATCTTGAATAGTTAATTTTATATTTGTGGAGTGTAGAATTTCCTCACATCCAAAATTCACATATATATATAACACCAAAATATTTTTAAAGCCTGTTCATCTTTGTCTTAGCTGTGTTGTGCTAAATTTAAACGACTGTTGAGGCAAGGGGTAAACCACATGATATTTGTGGGCAGACCTATTCAGGTCAGCATCCGAATTCAAACATGCAAAATTCTCAGTGTTATGAAAACTCAAATTATAGAAAGAGGAAATTTTTCAGAAGATAAACCTTCACAGAACTACTTACTCTCAAAGTGGACAATTCCATCAATTTGATCAATAAATCCATTCATTCGACCCTCAGTGATCATCTGAGAGGCAATTTTTTCTGCCTGGTGGGAAAAGACAAAATGACACGATTAAGTCACTATGGAAATCTGAAATAATAACAAAAAGCGCTGGAGATGCTTAGCAGCTTCTGTGGAGAGAAACACTTCAAATAGATGACTGTTCATCAGAACTGTAAAAAAATAAAAACATATGAATTTTAAAGTCAATGTACCAGGGAAGGGGCTCTACAAGCAAAGGAGAAGGTCTGAGAGGAGGTGGAGGAGTTGATGTAACAACATATTTCATGATGCAACAGCCAAACAGAGTGATTGTATGGTACAGAAAGAAATGTGAGGCATGAAAGGCTAAACAGCAACTGTCTGAATGGGACATGAAAGGATAAAGAAGACAAGGTCAACCCAGCATAACAAAAAAGAAACAGTCAAGGATGCAGAATAATGGTCTAAAGTTGCTGAACTCCAAGTTGAGTCCAGAAGGCTTTATTTCTGTTCAATTATGGGGCATCGCTGGCTAGACCAGCATTTATTGTCCTCCCTTAAATGCCCTTGAAAATGTGGTGCTGACTTGCCTTGTTGAACGATTGCAGTCCATGTGGAGTAGAGCACCATGGCCACAGTGTGCCATGTCAAGAGATTTTCAAAGTGCCTGCTATACCCTCCTTAGTGACATCTTTCAGCATTTTTCTAACTGCAGATGTTAAGCTTCCTGCTTGGATAGAGGAGTAGTATTTACTATTTTCCAATCTGATGGGACCTTTCTGGAGCATAAGAAATTTTGGAAATTTAAAAGTAATGCATCTATTATCTCAGATAACCACTAATTTAAGATTTTAGAATGAAGTCCATCAAATCCTGGGGAACCATAGGATCATACAGTACAGGAGAGGCACTTTGACCCATCTAGTCTGCACCAACAACTAACTACTCTACATCTACACCAGTTCCAGCACTTGGCCCTTAGCTCTGAAGGTTATGACATTTTAAGTGCTCATCCAAGTACTTGTTAAAAATTGCGAGGTTTCCCACCTCAACTACTACCCCAGGCAGTGCATTCTATGTTCTGACCACACTCTAGGTGAGAATTGTTTTCCTCAAATCCCCTCTAAACCTCCTGCCTTTTGCCATAAAATTATGCTCCCTAGTTATGACCCTTCAAAGAGAACGCCTGCTTCCTATCCACCCTGTCCATGCTTTTCTTGCAGATTGTATTTGTTTCAAGTTCTTCCCTTCCTCTCATCTCAATTCACAATTATTTTTATAATGATATTTGTGTCCTCTACAACGAAGACAGATACAAAATATGTTCAATTTCTCTGTCATTTCCATAATTGTCATTAATTACCCAAACTCACTCTCTAGAGGTCCAACGATCACTTTATGTATCCTTTACAAAAACCTGTTGAAAATCTTACTCAGCTTTCATAATTCTAGCTAGCTTTCCATCTTACTCTAAATTTCTCCCTCCTGACTAACCTTTTAGTCATATTTTGCTGCACATTATAATTTGTCAAATCATCTGTCCAGCCACTCACCTTTATGGAATTATATACCTGTTCTTTCACTGTGATTCCATCTTTAACTTCCTCATTAGCCTCACACTTCCTTCCCATAGAGACCTTTTTTCATGCCGGAATGTAACTTTTCTGAGTATTCTGAACTATCATCTTAAATCCTGTCGCTGCTTCTCTACTGACCTATCCCTTAAATTTTGCAGTTCACTTTACTGGTTCGATCTTCAAACCCTCATAATTGCACTTATTTAAGTTTAAAATCCAAGTCATAGATGCACTTTTCTCTTCCTCAAATTGAATGTGACATTCAATCATATTAAGATCACTGGTAACTCAACCCAGCTTTCTGAGGTCACTGATTAACCATTTTTGTTGCATTACGAATGCATAGTAACAGCTGATACTTGAGGAAGACAGTGCGAGAGAGACAGGGTAAGGGGAGAAGGGACTGGGAGGGGCGTTGATGTATTGAACTGGTAAGCCCTTGATCCTTCATCACTAGCTTTTCATTAAAGTGTCAAATGACTAAACATGAAATGAAACCATAGGCCAGATACCTTTAAAATAGGGTGAGTCTGTGTTGCTTAAGGGAGAAATGGAGAGATCACATTTGGTGATGTGTGGCTTTTGAGTGCATCTTAGGATATTGCAAGAACTTTGAGGAGTTCTGGATGTCTTGTAGATATCAGGAATCATAAGTGAAATAAATTGAAGCTGGAGACAGTGGTTAAGAAAGGGAATTCAGCCGTGGAAGTGGATCTTTTAAAAATTCACTCATGGGATGTGGGATTTCTACTTGCCCTCCAGAAGATGGCGGTGAGCTGCCTTCTTCAACCACTGAAGTCCATTTGTTTGTAGGTACTCCCACAGTGCTATTAGGCAGGGAATTCCAGGATTTTGACCCAGTGATACTGAGTGACTGATGATATATTTCCAAATCAGAATGGTAAATGGTTTGGAGTGTAACTTGCAGGAGGTGATGTTCCCAAGTATCTGCTGCTTTATCCCTCTAGATGGTAGTGGCTGTGGGTTTGGAGGGTGAATTTTGGCAATGCATCTTGTTGATGGTTTTTATCGAATGTGAAAAGGAGATAGAAGACAAAGCAGGAGCACAAGTAATAAACAGGAATCCTATTGGGGAAAAGAGAACTTCCTGGTGCCAAAGGCAAGGGAGGGGGAGTTCTGATTTACAAAGGAGTGGATACACGTGTTGCAGAGAGCACCAGGGTATCATGGACAACAAGGTGCAGGGCTGGATGAACACAGCAGGCCAAGCAGCATCATAGGAACAGAGAGGCTGACGTTTCGGGCCTAGGCCCTTCATCAGAAAAGGTGGAATGATTCCTTTGTAATGCTGAAAACGGAAAGCAGAGGTAGACTTATTTAGTGATAGTATCTGGAGCTGGGGAAAGCAATTAAATTTTTAGCTCAATATTCAAGTTAGATCAACAGCTGAGAGGTATTCAGCATACTGAGGAACTAATAAATTAATACTGAGTAAATGAGAAGAAAACAATAGAATCTTCTCATTCTTGTTTTTGATTTTTTCCAGTTAATGAGATACTGAATGAATAACATTGTAAAATTACACTTGGGAGAGATTCTAAAAGATTTACTTGTGCTAAACAAAGATATTGTTTTTCATGCTCCTGAGTATTTAGCATTCTTCCCTTAAATAAAAATTAAAGTGAAGATTATCATTTACTGTATAACCAATATCATTTCAAAAGCATTATTTGGAATTGAAGAATTGTAAAAAGCCCACAGCTAAAGCTTACAGAATTCTGATTTGATATTTGCTCGTACTTGTTAACAATTTTATGTTTTTCAAATTTTCCTTGCGGCAGTGATCTACAAGGAGTACATTTCGCTGTATTTTGTCCTCAGAGGCAGTTCCTAAAGGATCAATAATTACTCTACATTCAGTTATCTTCTAACTGTACAGCACTACCAACCTCTCAAAAATGATATTGCTATGGAGGCCAAAGTCTCAGTTAAAATATCAGATTGGAGCAACTTAGTCTTATTCCTCTCTTCCAATCCTAACAGAAAGAAATCAAGTCATTGGCACTCCTCCTGCAAAGTCAGGTGCAATTCCAAATAATATTCCAAAGTTGTGACTGAAAGATATTATCAGCATCACGATGCATTTAACTGAGGAAAGGAGAAGCGTCAGCTGCTAACTGCCTGACTGATGATCTAAAGCAGGAGTTGCCAACAGCCAAAGAGGAGTGAAGAACAGCTCCTATAGTACTCTTTGTGGGCCAGGTGGAGCTGGGCATCTGTAACCCATTCCCGATTATTAGCTCTCCACCTTCCCAACACAAGTAAGCACTCCAAATCTGACCTTTAGTTTCCCCAAATCTCAACTAGATGTGCACTGTCCTTCCAAATACTTCGGTGGCTTTCTAGCTTAAAGCTTTCTGCCACTATTTGCCTCTCCTGCCAGCCAGGAGGTAAATGAACAGTGTGAGGGCCATGCTGACCCTGGCCGTGCTGCATTCTTTGCCAGATTAAATGCTTTCTCTCACTTTGTTAATATCAAAGTCCAGATATTTCCATGAATGCAATCTTTATTTAGAATTATAGTAGAATGAAGCACAAAAATGTGATATACACATTTTATATGCATACATAAACAAAAGTCTGCAATAAGTTAATCTCCCTTCATAAACAGCTGTACATTATACACAATCTACAATACATATGGAATTAAGTTCTGAAGCTCCAGATAGTTAGCTTATTTCAGTCCCATCTTCAGCATGCCCCTCAAGCAAGGAGTGAAACCAAGTACCAGAATAGAACTTTTTCAAGTTTTTGATTTTATCTTTGTCCATGGGAAAACCAATCCCTTATTTGATATATAATCTCCTCAACATACTCAGTAATGATTTATGTGCATATAAAAGTACCAGAGGGAAAAAAACTTTATGATGCATTGATATTATCATTTACTATGTTTCCGATAATCTCAAAACACGAGGAAGGAAAATATCTTTGACATAAAATGAAGGGAATCAAGTATTTTTAACCAATAGCTTGCTGGCAGTGTGGGAAATATTCAACTTGCATGGTTTGTACAAACCTGAGGATCAGTTTTAAAATGCTTATGGATAAAGTTTCAGACTTGTGCCTTTGACACAAATATTTAAATGTTTAATTTTTCATCAAGACAAGAGATGTCCGAATGGGTACAGATGTCAGACATAATACACAGTGTAAAGAACAAAAGGTAGTGGAAATATTATAGTTAATATTTTGTCTAGTCAGAGTATCTACATTGTAATGCTAGATCATGGCATACTGTTATTTGGAAACATGAGTTCTAAATTGGACAGAAATATGCAGCTCTAAGTTTGATTTGCATTTGCAAATTGTCAAGAAGGGAAGGGAAGGCACGACTTGTTCATTTTAACTTCTGAATGAAGCTTTTAAAACTCTTAAGGTCAATAGTTCAATGCCTTGGAAACAAGGACAGGAGAAAAAAAAAGGTCATTGCCTAGCAACAAAGTACCTTATAACATAGGGAAA